CCACCGCTCAGTGCCGTTTCGAACAATACCCCCTCCAGCGCGTCTGTTTTGTGAAGTGCTTTCTTGAAATTTCATGAGATTTTGGCAGGTTTGGAGACATCCATGCAGAGCTTTAGCTATAAGACGAATGCTTGATATCAACTGCAAAATATCTGAGGAGCGAAATGGCAGAAATTGAGAAAGGCCGGCTCACTTCATAGCGAGGTTAGGCGGAAAATGCGCCTTGTTGATTTTCGCTCCGCCCCCAAAGTTTCATCTGAAAAAATTCCACCTCCCGATGCCGCTTGTTGATTTTCTCACTGTAACTTTTTGCGAAAAGATCGGAATTCTGTCGGAACAAAAAATCATCAAACGGCGCGGCTTTGAAAACGCTAAGCTCGTGCTCAGCATTTATGAAATGTGAGCAGATCGCACAAAACTGTCATCTATTTTTCTACTGCCAGCTTACGCCCGGCAATGGTGTAAGGATGAGGATTGGAACCTTATTAGAAACTGCAAAATAAGTTGTTAAACGAAACTCCAAAAATCGAAAAAATGTCCGAACTTGAATGTGTTGGGAGGTCATCTAGGTTATCTATCGGGGCAGGCTTCTAGTTTTAATGACAAAGCAGCCTTACCCCTTGCCTTTTACATACCACAAATTTCAATCCTTTTATTCTGGTTTGCTCACAGAGCTAACTTGCAACGAAATGGTTTCTGCGGGTACACCGTGTTTCGGACGAGCTGTCACAATTCAGAGATTCTACTTCAATCCAAACACGAGGTAGAACAATGGTTCAAATGGCCTTGGGTAAAGAAGTTTTTCTGCTTTCAGAAAGTGTCAAGCGTTCCAATATTACGGTTGCAACGGTAACGGCAATAACTTCGCTACATTACAGAGTTGCCAAGATCACTGCCTGAATGCTGTAGATACTGGTATGTCCCGATTCAAATTTATGTGTTCGGTTACTCCTGCTAGTCCATGTTCATCTACACAATACTTCAGACTTTTCTGTACCTATGCATGCCCTCGTTTTACAACATCTTTCTCACCCCGATCGTATTCCTAAAAAAAAGTGATGTTATAGTCTGTGGTGGTGCCGCGGCTCTCATGGATCCAAATCAACAACCTCAGCGTTGCTCTGGTAATGTGCCTTGCCCGGCCGGGTACATCTGTAATCCAGAACAGTTCTGCTGCCCAACAACTGGTAAGCATAAACCATTCTTCGACCATTAAGAATCGGCTAATACTCTAATATATACCACTATTGTAATTTGAACTTAATCGCTTATTGTTTAGAAACAGCCTGCTCTGCACCTATGAGCAGAGGAAATGTTTGTTCTGGATCTCCTTTGCGAACTATGTGGTACTACGACCCTTCACAAGGAAAATGCATTCAATTTGCATACAACGGTAGGTAGTCTCGCTGAAAAAAATTGCCAGATTGCTTGGAGATACTCACTTCTGATGCATAGTTATACTGATGCTTCGGCACGGAGAAATGGAAGGAAACTTTTTCTCTCCAACTCACTGCCAGACGGTTGCGGTAGTACGACAGTGTTTGCTTATATGTGTTTGCGAAGACTGACCAAAAAAGCTATTCCGATCACATTTATCAGTCATTGATTAGCAACTGTGCCAGCTACAAAACGAATTTTGGCGTTCGGATCTTCCCGCTTCATAAAAGCAGTTGATAAACGAACATAACCTCTGCATTCGTGCACAAATAACGAGAAATGTGTTCGCAGTTCCAATATCTCTTAGAGATTTGCTCGCTGAGATTTGCTGTTTTTTGAAAGTTCGTCCTAGTACAGCCAACAACTTCGAGTGCGTACAAATCTGCTGGAAAACAGTAAAAGACGGATATTGCGCAGTTGACCCGGGGATATATCAAAATTATTTTGCTGCTTCATGTAAAAATCTAGATGATCTTTCGCTACACCCCCGATATATTAACAAAATTTCCGAGGACTGAAGACCTTACTTTTACAAAGTACGAACAGTCTTGTAATGACGTCCGCTGAAACTATCTACTTACACTCAAGCGCTTCTCCTTGAAACAAGAACTGAGAATGACACTAAAATGTTTTGTTTAGAGCTCTTCGAAAATCGGAAACGTACAAAAAAAAGATACTGTCGTACGCGCAAACAGCTGATTGTGCTTTTTCATGCTAAATGCCTTCGACATACGCCTTCTACTTTTAGGATGCGGAGGTTCGGTAAATCGTTTTGCCTCTAAAAAAGCCTGTAACTCAGCCTGCACAAGCGCATCAGCATTTGGATCGTGTCCACGAGGAATGTCGCCGCTGATTGAGGATGGAGAGACGGTGGCCAAGGTAAAATCACCTACTGCTGTTGCGAGACTTGGTTGCAAGTAATGCATTAAGGCCTGCACACTTAACGTAGTCGGAACGTGCCCTCTTTCGGCTTCTTGCGTTCGATCAACCACCAATCAGCCAATATGCTGCCAGACAGTCACAACATGTCCCGATGACCGGAAGCCTTACGTCATTCCTGGTAGAGTCCACACCTTCCCTTTGGCAGGATTTCACTTATTGTTTTCTACTGTCAGGATCCACCTCAGTCGTTGCCTGCAATGTGGACGCTGACGATTGCCCTTCCGGGAACACTTGCGTGGAATCAAAGTAAGCTGTGAGGGTTTCCATACTTTAGCATTTTTCCAAATTTAGTTCTGTACCCGGATTCCACATGTGTTGCTCCACAGTGCACGCTAGTCGACGACCATCTGGTTTCGGCACCTCTAGGAAGGAGCCGGACACACTTGCAGCCTTGATCAAAAGGTGAGGGAGTGAGAAAGACTTCGTCGCGTAAAGTAAATGAAGGCAACTGCCTTGTCTAATACTGGCCTCTGTAAAACGAATTCAATCGAGACCGCTCATCAGCATAAGCCTT